TATCTTAAAGAATAATTGGGAAGTATTGAGTGTGGGGGGATGTGTGTGCATGCACATGTGCCAGTTGTGGGGCTTGAACTTAGGAACTGGGTACTGTCCCTGAGTCTTCTTGCTCAAGGGAGCACTCTATCACTTGGGCTACAGCTCTACTTTCTGCTTTTTGGTGGTTAACTGGAGATAAGAGTGTCATGGACTTTCCTGCCCAGGCTGGCTTCAAATGGGATCTTCAGCTCTTAGCCTTCTGAATGGCTAGGATTGCAAGTATAAGCCACCAGCAATAATCTACGCATATAGATTTTAAGGTACATCTAGATCTAGTTGAAAGAACAGGAAGGGTGGAGAGAAGTTAGGCCAATATTTACTTACACGTGGACTACCTTTCTTAAACCAAAGTTACAGGCAGAATTTTGTTAATATTTGATTTATATAGGTGTGCCTAGACTATCAACTTGTGTCTTCTTATGTAGGCTTTTCCAATAAAGATATGGAACTATCACCTTTATATTTCATCTGTTTTCTCTTATTAAATATTCTGGTAGTTGTCACTTGCTGAGCCTTCAGAATAGTTTGACTTGCACTTCTTGGTTATATCAAACCACAGCAGTATAGTGTAATACTAGAAGCTGGGTGTGGTAGTACGTGCTTCTAATCCCAACACTCTGGAGGCTGAAGCAGTAGGATCATAGGTTTGAGGCCAGTCTGGGCTTCATAGTGGTTTCCAGACTAGTCCACCATATACACAGAAACCTGTCAATAAATATCATCATCATAAGAATTGCTATGATCCTCCTTTACAAATGAGGTAACCACAGGTCAAATCATAAAATAGAGGTTTGGAGGTAGAAGTAACAAGAGTGTGGCTGTTGGACAGACCTGAATGTAACTTGTGCCTTGCCCTTGGCATTCCTCCTCCCCTGGAGATAAGGCTCAGTGACTGTCTGGGATGCTGGCTGGCTGCTATAGGGATGAGATAAAATTTGGAGTGTCTGAGTGCATGGCACTAGGAAGTCCTTGTTTCTCCTCCTAGTGGCTCCTACTGTAGATATTTGTTTTGCCTTAGGTAGGGGTGAAATAATGTAGCACTACTGCATTTTAAAAAGCAATGAAAATATAGATAATACCTTATAGCTACAGAGCACTTTATAGGGATTTTTTTTCTTTTGCCAGCACTGAGATTTGAACTTAGGGCCTCATGTTTGCTCTGCTTGCTTGTTTGGATGGTGCTCTACCTCTTCAGTCACATTTCCAGACCAGCTTTTTGTTGGTTATTTTGGACATGGAATATTGAAGGCTTATCTGCCCTGGCTGGCTACAAACCATAATCCTCTGAGGAGCCTCCTGTGTAACCAGAAGTATAAGTGTGAGCCACCTGCACTTTCATTTCTCCCAACATTGACTTGTTTGATCTTTTAGAAAATAATGTAATATCTCAATTTTTTTTGGCTGGGTGTTTCTAAAACATCATAACATTATCTGTGGGCCTTGAAAAATGTTAATCTGGGAAATGATATAAGAAGAATGGCCTAGGGATTGGGAAGGTGGCTCAATGGTAGAGCTCTTGCCTTGCATGCATGAGACCCTGGGTTGGATTTCTCAGCATCACATAAGCAGGAAAAAACGGAAGTGGCGCTGTGGCTCAAGTGGTAGAGCACTAGCCTTGAGCTGAAGAGCTGAGGGACAGCGCCCAGGCCCAGAGTTCAGGCCCTAGGACTGACAAA